TATTATTAAAATTAGTATGTGTTTGAAATTGAACGTAAAGCTATTTTAAATGAGAAATCAGTGTCTTAATAACTTTCAAGTAGATTCATTATTACAGCTATTATTCTTTATGATTTGAACGGTAATATATCGAACGAAAATAAATTTAATTTAATTAAAGGATCAATCAAAATTAAGTTTAGAAATCGAATTTCTCCCACCCGTTTTTCACTTGGGCGATGGATGGCTGATATTAGTTTCAGTTTAGTGTTAAATATTTAACATGGAAAGTCAAAAGATTTTATGGTTCAAAAACAAAACCCTAGAAGAACGGTTCAGTTAAAAAGATAAACTTTCAAAATTCAATCAAAAAATCCAAGTAAATTCCTAAAAAAAATAAACTATGCAAATAAAAAATCATTCGGGCATAAATAATTGTTATCTCAAAATTTGTGACTAACCGGATGAAATTTGTACATGTTATTGGTGCTGACAGGTCGAACCATGTAAATTGAGAACATCGCGTTTTAAGTTTTAAGTTGAAAAGGCATAACATATTCCCAACATAGAAATCCATCCAGGCCATTTTAGACTTAAAGCATTTTTCTTTATTTAAAATGCAAACATAATTCTAACGTCAACAGATAACAAAAATATTACATTGTACTACTATGAACTATGTCCGTACTGTTTTGAAATAAAATCTCTAGTTGTTTTTATTTAATTCAATAACTAAATGATCTATTTAGGAAGAATTCCTAAAGGATTAACTCTTATCAAATTAACTGTTTGACTCGAAATTGTTATGTTGTGGGTGCTTTATTTACAACCTAATGACTTAAGTTATACCACTAACCAAACAACATATAGACTGGACATCACATAGAAACAACGTTGGCACAAAAAGTATCGGACGCATCTGGTCCAAACTCTCGAGTAAGGGAGTAAGATATACATATGATGTATTTTTATACCGCTTACTCTACAGGAAAGTGCTTGACATTCTCTTCCATATGATTTGTACGATAGAACGGCAACGCTGTTAACTTTTAGCTCGCTCGCACTTACTTTCAGCTCTCAATGCTCTCTCTATGTTTAGGGATCGTTTAAATGTGTGTGTGTATGTGTCCGACAAGCAAAACTGCACAAAAAATTCAATTTTTCCCAAATACTGAGGCATTTCTACCCTTTTGAAGGCACGAGTAATATGAAATAGAGAAAGGGTTTGCCACGTCGATGCGAAATTCTTGCATTTTAGCTCGATATCGTTGGTTAGGTCCCTAAGCGTTGCCATGTGTGCACTTAAAATATTTTGGACTCGCTATTCACGCATACTTGCATATTTTGTATATGAATAGAAGCATTTATGCGCTTCTGTGCCTGTTGCTTGCCTGCCTGTCCACGATGGAAATTTAACAAGATTTTGGGATTTCTGATTTTCGACCTCTACACATAGACACAAACATATAAATGTTTGCGAATGGGCTGATCATGGGCGTAAAAGAAAATATCATTATTGGCACGCGTCTGACGCGCGCCCTTCTTTTTTAAGATTTTGATATATGAATGCATTTTGTGTACTGAGGTTGGCTCCGCAGAAAATATGTATTTCTAAGTCGATGCAAATATTTACATAATTTGTTTAAATTAAATTAATATCTTATTATCCAATTAAGAAATAAAAGAGTGCTAAAATATACAAATACATTTCAAGTCGACTCGAAGGTCATATTTAGTTATGACCCCATTATAATTATAATGGCGTCCTCGCTGTGTTCCCTGGGTACCGATTTGGCATCGGTAGCTAATTCGAGCGGCGACTTTGTTCTTTATAATTCGAACAAAAAATAATAAAATAAAAAAAATACAAATTAATTAAATGTATCTTTGAAAACAACAAATTTGCACTTTTATTTCCTTAATTTATATTGTATTACTTAAAAATAATAATAATTTAATTAATGATTTCATATATAAAAAATTACATAAATATTTGCATCGACCTAAAAATTTTTTTTATTCCTATGTACACAAAATCATCAACAGATATTTTGGGTTGGTCGTGATCTGCGCTAAAAAACAAAAAAAATTGTTTCTTGCCAGCCAGAGACTTTGCCAGAGCAGTGGATAACAACACATTCAAATATGCTGTTATGTAGGTATATTCACACGCATACAAACATAATTGCTTCCACGGCCCACATAGAGCCGAAGCTGAGAGCAATTTCTATTTTTAGCTTTTTCGTTCTCTCGGCTGTGAGAGAGCAATGCTACAGACTTCGTTTTCGTTCTCAATTTTCAAAAAATCAAGCAGCATAGTAGCATTTTGTTGTATGGTGTTACTCATCTTAGTGTTTATATTGTCTTTGGTTCAGCCGTCTGTAGTCGCCGCATGTCCGCTTTTTATTTTTGTTCTTCTTGGGTGCCATGTGTAGTGGGCTCGCCCATTGTCTGCTGCTTGGACTGCAAATGCACTGCTTCAGCATATAGTCAAATTCTCTCTCTATCCCTAATTTTTCAGGGTTTAGCCGACGCGCTTTCGAAGGTACAGGCTGGTCCTTTGTTAGGATGTGATGCTGTACTGACGTCTGTACATCGTGTGCTGCGTACTTGCAGTATTTGGATAGAAGTACTTCGAAATTGTCGTCGGTCACTGGAGACACAGTGAGTAGTTTTTTGAATTCCACACTGTACGTGAGGAGTTTTCTGCGTACGTCGACCAGCAGTCCGTATTCGTGGAGGAAATTAGCTCCAATGATTGATTTTTTGAAAATTGAGAACGAAAACGAAATTTGTAGCATTGCGCTCTCATAGCCGAAAGAACGAAAAAGCTAAAAGTAGAATGTGCTCTCAGCTTCGGCTCTATGAGGGCCGTGCAAGCAACTATGTTTGTATGCGTGAGAATATACATACATTACAGCATATTTGAATGTGTTGTTATTCACTGCTCTGGCAAAGTCTCTGGCTGGCAAAGAAATAAGTTTCTTAGTTTTTTATCGCAGATCACGACCTACCCCAAATTTCTGTTGATATATGAATGCATTTAGTGTACTGAAGTTGGCTCCGTACAAAATATGTATTTTTAAGTCGATGCAAATATATATGTAATTTTTTATATTTGAAATTATCACTTAACTTATTATTATTTTTAAGTAATACAAAATAAATTAGGGAAGTAAAATTGCAAATTTGTTGTTTTCAAAGATACATTTATTTCATTTATTTTCATTTTTTTTTTTATTTTATTATTTTTTGTTTGAATTATAAAGAACAAAGTCGCCGCTCGAATTAGCTACCCAGGGAACACCGTGAGGTGCAATATCTAAATTTAATTAATAAAATATTTAACTATATATTTTATCAAAAGTCATAGTTATTTATACAAATAAATATGTAATTGTATTTTTTGGCACTCTTTTGTTTCTTAATTGGAGAATAAAAATAATATTAATTTAATTTAAAGAAATTATGTAAATATTTGCATCGACATAAAAATACATATTTTGTACGGAGCCAACCTTAGTACACAAAATGCATTCATATATTAACACAAATTTGGGATAGGTCATGATCTGCGCTAGAAAACTAACAAAATTAATTTGTTGCCAGCTAAAGCCAGAACAGTGAATAACACATACATACATACTTTAAAGTTCTTATGCATGTATAATTCACGTATACAACCAAAAGTGCACGCACGCTATTGGCTGAGATAAGAACTTTTCTCGAGCATACACTGTCCAAAAAGAAAAGTGAAATCAATCTATGTGTGCTATTTTCTTAACATAGTTATTGCGCAAGAAGAGCCTTGTAAAAATGATATAAGTTCTTAAATTCTCCTGTGAAATTATTCGTAGATATCCAGGGTAATATATCATTTAAATAAAGCATACATTTCATGGATAAAGCACAAGCACTTTGTTTCGATCGTAAGTTATAAACTTTTTCGCTCAATGTACTTCGAAAACGAAGCGACGCAAAGCAGCATCAACCAGCTTTGCTGAAGGCAGGCTGGCGACTAACTTCGTAGCTCGTGTCAGCATCAGCAAGTCGCGACTTCGTCATTCGTTCGTCTGGTCTTTGGAGAACGAACAACCAGTCGACAGGCATGCCGTACGAAGCCTCAAAGGCCAGACGAAAGGCCAGGCTAGAAATTTTGCGTCGTATATATCAAATGTGCCAATATTGATATATATTTTCTTTTGCGCCCATGATCTGCCCATTCACAGACATTTGTATGTGTGTGTCTGTGTGTAGAGGTCGAAAATCAGAAATCCTAAGATCTTGTTAAATTTCCATCGTGGACAGGCAGGCAGGCAAGCAACAGGCACACAAGCGCATAAATGCTTCTATTCATATACAAAATATGCAAGTATGCGTGAAAAGCGAGTCCAAAATATTTTAAATGCACACATGGCAACGCTTAGGGACCTAATCAACGATATCGAGCTAAAATGCAAAAATTTCGCAACGACGTGGCAAACCCTTTCTCTATTTCATATTACTCGTGCCTTCAAAAGGGTAGCAATGCCTCAGCATTTGAGAAAAATTTAATTTGTGCGCAGTTTTGCTTGTTGGACACATACGCACACACACATTTAAACCATCTCTAAACATACAGAGAAGCATTGAGAGCTGAGACTAAGTGCGAGCGAGATAAAAATTAACAGCGTTGCCGTTCTATCGCATAAATCATATGGAAGAGCGTGCGCCAAGCACTTTCCTGCAGAGTGAGCGGTTCAAAAATACATCTTATGTATATCTTACTCTCTTACTCGCGAGTTTGGACCAGATGCCTCCGATACTTTTTGTGCCAACGTTTCTTCTATGTGATGTCCAGTCTATATGTTGTTTGGTTAGTGCCCATATTCAAGATATCACATACAAACTGAGTGGCAAGTCAATATTGACGACAATTCATCAGATACCAATAGCCCCAGAACACCGCAGCAAACCCGCAATCTTGAATCCATCTGGACTACACGAATTTAATGTAATGACATTTGGGCTATTAACGCTAGCCAAACATTTCAACGATTCATGGACCAAATATTTCGTGATATGAACAATTGCATTGTCTACATTGAAGACATCTGCATCGCATCGCAAAATGAAGAGGAGAATTATCAGCATGTCAAGGATGTGTTTGGCTGACTACGCAAGGACAGCTGCAAAAGCTAATCAGAGGCAACAAAAAGAAGGACAAGACGCCAACAGTGTGGAACGCCGAAGCAGACCAGATGTTCGTGCAGTGCAAGACCGATTTGGCACGCGTGACAACATTAGCGCATACATCCGCAAATGCTAAACTGGTACTGCACGTCGACGCGATTAGCTTCTGCGTGGGCGCAGCCTTGAGTGAGTTGCAAAACGGATCCCTCAAACCGCTCGGTTTCTTCTCTAAACGGATATCGGAACCGCAAAAAAGCAAAGCACTTATGGCCGTGAGTTGCTGGCGATTTGTCTGTCCGGACGGAATTGCAACAGCAAAGTGAGCACTCTTTCCTACAGCTAAGACAAATCCAACTTAACGACTCAACGACATTGTTATACTGAGACATTTCGTCAAAAAGAATCCGTCCGTATATCACACACAGCTACCGTAAGCAAGTCTTCCATTCCATTCATAACTAATCGCACCCAGGTAAGCGCATTACGGTGAAACTCATAACCGAGAACATATCCACATTTATTTAATTGGCCCATTGCGACTGTCCAACAATTACAGGTACTGTCTGACGTACATTGACCTCGGCTCTCACGCTGGCCGGCGGCAGTCCCAATAGCAGACATAACGGCAGAGACGGTAGCTAAAGCTTTATTGCATGGTTGGATTGCAAACTACAGTATGCCACACTTCATAACTACCAATAAATTATTTAAGGAACTTACTCAGTTGACGGGATCCAAGCATCTGCGAATGACAGCATACCACCCACAAGCCAATGGCATTGTGGAAAGAATGCACAGGACCCTGAAGACCGCTATTAAATGTCACACTGATTCCAACTGGACCGACAGCCTTCCGATCGTACTACTTGGCTTGCGAGCAACATTTAAAGAAAATCTCAACGTCTCTACAGCAGAAATGGTTTACGGGACAACTTTAAAACTGCCGGGTGAATTTTTCGAAAAACCTGCCGAAGAGTATATCGCAAATGAATTCATCAAGCGCCTATGTTCAACCATGTCCCAACTGAAATCTGTATATACATCACACCACACTACTACCAAAGTATTCGTTCAAAAAGATCTCAAAACATGCACACACATTTTCGTACAGAAGGACACAGTGAAAGCGCCGCTCAAAGCACCTTATAAGGGGCCATCTCTAGTTATCAGCCCCAACGACAAGCAATTTGTAATTGATATCAACGTGTTAAGACAGCTTACTTAGAAGCAAACGATGCAACATCATCTGTAATTATAGCTTTGTCTTGAACGAGTTCCGAACTGGCTCAGCTCTCGGTTCCCAAAAACTACTTACGAGAGACAAGCCAGAAGAATTGCTTAATAATACAAAATATATTCATACCTTGTAATCAATAAATAAAATATGCGAGTAAAGTCGCACAATGCAAAACTATATGAACTAAAAGATAAAGCTATCGATGAATTAAAACTGCAGAAGCACTTAGTCATTCTATGGTGACCGAAAGCAACAAATAAATTTACAGCGAACACTTAAAGAATCGTTATCCTCACTACCGGCCAATTTAGACCACAGCTGAAAGTGGTCCCACTGTCACTTCTGTGGTGTCTAAGCTTCTAGTTGGTGTGCTTTCCCTTATTTATTATCGGATTATGTACAGGCAAAATGTCTTTCCTCAGACATAACGGTGGAAAATTTTAAGTTTGTCAATGAGAGGAATATTTAATCCTTTTAAAATAAATGTTTCATCTGGAATTTTTTAATTTAATTTATTATTTATTTTATTTAATAATTTAACTAATTTTTAAGGCATACAAAGACAAAAAAATCTAATTAATTAATAGCTCCATTTAGTGGCACTTTAACTTAATTTGCTGCCTAAAAAACTTAATTATTCTCTTGCCTATCAATATGTTGGAGGATTAGATTAGATTAGATAGATTCTCTCGCCTTCAATTATCATCTCATAGCTGTTGAAACTATTTTTTCGTGGGAAATCATTAAACTTCATATCTTTGAGATTAAGTGATTCATGGCTGTAAACGTTTCATTTATATGTTTCCGAGTTTTTATCTCATGTTCCAATATTCCCCACTACTTTCTGATGAAGACCTCTTGGTCGTCTTTTTGGCGATGTTAATTTTACCGAGATGTTAATTGGTCATCGTCAATGGATTCAACCTTTGTGTTGCCCATGGAATCAAATGATCATTTCCGTTGTTTTCGTAAGGCTAATTCTCATAAGCTCAACGATATTATTCTGCAATTCGATTGGTACCAACTGTACGATTGTGCAGACGTTGATGTTGCCATTAAATAATTTTATGATACCCTATACTCGCTCTTTGATATCTGCGAGTTTGAGTGCCGAGCGAGGTCTGAAAGGCCTCTCTGCCTCTCAAGGGAACTAGTCAGATTTAAAAATTTGAAGTCTAGTTTTTATAGCAAATATAAGATATTGGTAAATCTCTCTTATTTCACCGATTATGTTGCCAAATAAATTCTTCCTACCCAAAATTCCAAAAGCTATGATGATTGACTTCGCCCTAGTTGCCTTCAGCTTTCACTTAAAAAATGCTAAGAATTTTTTCAAGTTTGTTAAATATAAACGTAAATCATTTCTTTTGTCAACTTCGGTTATTGCATTGGCATTGCCGATTTGAACGCATAATTTTTTCAAACTTTTCCCTTGGCTATAATGAAAATCGGCTTTATCCTCATCAGAGGTAAAACATCATCTTAAAACCTACTATTACTGAAAATTCGCTTCGCAGCGACCTTGTGGTGAGGTTTTGTGCTACAGCACTATGTTAACCTATTTGAACACCTTTTTAAATTGTCTTTTAATACATCACATTTCCTGATTGTTTGGAAAGAATTGTTGCTTCTCCCTCTCCATAAGGAAGGAAATAATAAGATTTTGGTAAATAATAAGAGCTAGAGTCACCAAACTTGACATATAGCTTCTAAAATAGAATATATATATGCATTTGATGTTGGAAGAAGAGGGAGCTCCCGACTAGAACATCTTACTTGTTTTAAATTTATTTGGTATTGGAATAAGAGGGTTCAGGGTATTCCCTAGTCGGCAGCTCCCGACTAGAACCTCTCACTTGTTTCATGGTCATTCCTATCCATAACATAAAACAATTTACTCTTGTTTTATGGATAATGGGAAAATATGGTAAAAATTGTTTAGTTAATGAGAATTGATCTAAAAGCAGAAAATCAGGGATACAATAAAGTCGATGATTTATCCTTCATGGATGTTGACTTCTGATTTCTGTTCAGACTAATGTTACGATGAAGTCTATGCACACATGCGTTAGTTTGAAAAGAAACTTGAAGATAGAAATAGTTTAATTGTATTCCTAGACGGTATTCTGGGATCAATAAAGATTTTTCTTAACATAAGCAAAGGACTGTATCAAAACAAATAAAATATAAATAAATGGTTGTCCGATAATTCGACACGGTTTCTACAGTTATACGAAATATCTAAAGTGGTCTTTATGTTCTGCTTAAAAATCGGATAGCAATAAAAACTTTAAATTTTATAATGCTATTAAGAATAAAAGAAAGTTCACCAAAAAAATCTTAGAATCGCACTTTTTACCGAGATACTGTGTTTCTCTAAAAAATGTGAAACACGTCTCCTCTAATTTTTTATATAGATCCTTGATATTGAATTTCAGCGCGAAACGACACCCACCAAATCTTTGACCAAGTTTCCACCAAGGGGGGGATAGACTTTCCAAAAAATGCGAAATACCTCTCAAATTAATTTGAACAAAGAACTTTGAAATTGGTTTTGAGGCCGATCGGATAGTAAACAAAAAAGTTTAACACAAACGTTTTCTCGTGAGTTTTCCACACTTGCGCGTGGAGTTTTCCGAAACCCCGTCTTAACGTGCACGTTCATCACATAAAGTAACTACAGTGAATATTTCTGCTTTCTAGCTCCTACGGTTTGGGCTGTGTGTTGATTATCAATCAGTCAAGACAAACAGTATCTATATATTTTTCGTGGGTTTTTGGTAGTACTATTCCTGCCATGTGATTTTTAAACAAAAATACATGTTTGGTTTTCATATTAAGATGTTGGATCACTTATTTGTTCTTATTTGTAAGAATTAAAGATGCTAGAAATGTTCTGAACATAGTCTTCCCAAGCAATAGCAAATAAGTCGTCGACGTATTTTGTGGGTATTCGTTTAGTTGTTATTACTTCATTCAAAGACTCTTCTATTAAAATATTAGTGATACCGGCGACACTATTGGTAGGCCTTCTAATTACCGTTTATTTTTTTCGACGAAATTTGAAGTTTTCTTTTATGCAGAACGTCAAAAAATTCGTTCTTTTTTTGGTATTTGTGCAAGCTCTTTTACTTCGTTTTACCTCTTTGTGTATGACATCAAGGTCCAAAACTGTTAGACTTGGAAATATTCATCACCTTTTTATAGTCTAAAAAGTCTAAAAATAAGTTTTAAGATAAAATAACAACTCCAGAAAACTTATAAAACACTTCGGTGTCCTGTCTGCATTGATAGGGACGATAATGTTCAGAAAAATACAGGTAAACTCGAAAAGGGAAAGGACAATAAATTTTTATCCCTGAAAATAAACAAACAATATCTTTAAACATAACACAATATCCTAAGGTCATATAGCTTAAAAGCATAAACAAAAACCTTCGAAAATATGCGCGCCTATTAATTTTCCAATTTGATATTGTAGTGTGTTAAGATTGATAACAGCTTTCGAAGCTGTTCGAAAAATATAGGAGAAAAAATTGAAAATAAAAGTTTTAATAAAAACGAAAACTAAGATCTCAATAAAACTCAATAAACAAGTAAGAGGTTCTAGTCGGGAGCCCCCAACTAGGGGATACCCTGAACCCTCTTCTTTCAACATCAAATGCATATATATTCTAAGTATTTTAGAAGCTATATGTCAAGTTTGGTGACTAGTCTTATTATTTACTAAAATTGCCCAAAAAACAGGATATCGATATTGATTTTTATCGATTGCTTGGAAACGGAGTAAGTTATCAATTATCGGTAATAAACTCGATCTGCGCGGGAACTACGAGCACCTACATCCAAAATTTTAGTCTCTAGCTCTTATAGGTTCTGAGATCCTTGCGTTCATACATACGGACGGACAGACAGGCGGACATGGCTAGAGCGACTCGGCTATTGATGCTGATCAAGAATATATATACTTAATGGGGTCGGAGATGCTTCCTTCTGCCTGTTACATACATTTCGATTTCGCACAAATACAATATACCCTTATACCCATTTTTAATGGGTTCAGGGTATAAAAATGTATTTAAAAATAAAAATAAACAATTTTGTTCCGTTGCATTTTGTGACTCGCTGTCCTATTCTAGTCCGTTACCTTTATTTGAGCCAATTTAGTGGAACAACAAGACACTAAGTTACTTAACAAAACATATTGGAGGTCACTGAAAAAATTAGCATGTCACGTGCTGAAATCTATCGGAAGGGTATTGCAATAATTTCTTAAAAATGTATAGAAACATTTATATTCTGGCATTGTCATAAAATAAAAAATCACACAGTTTTAAAAAACCCACAAGAATCATTGACTCAAAACAAAACAATGCTATTAAAACGGGTGTGTTTTTCTTCCATACGCGCCACAAAATGGAAAATGTGATCTTTAGTGATATGCTTCATTGCTTAAGCTCTTACAACATTTTTAGGTCATGAACATGTCATCCAAATGTGTAAGTAGCGAGGCCAAGGACTATGACAAGGACTAGGACTATGACTCTATACAATACATTTTTTTAATTGTTGGCTATAATCTGGATCTGTGCATACTATTTAAGAGTCTTCATACCAAGTCTGTGTCTCTAGTCGTTAAAAGTGCCGACATATGCACAAAAACAGAATTCCGGCTTCCAGAGGATGTTATCGCTGGTATACAAC